TGGCAACCCATATTTGGGATTTCGATAATTGCATATTGATATATATTCGGGCAGTTACAATCTGCCGTTTATACCCTGGATTTGTACCTATTTGAACAGTAAATAAAACTCGTATATACCTAAAGTCCTGAAAAGCAGAACTCATTTCAGCGGCACGTCCCCAAAAGATAAGCTCCATGTGCTTCCCTCGGGTTTTGTCACTTTTAAACAAACATTGATGATGAGATGAATAATTTAAAGCGGTGGGGCTATCACCTGCGCACGCGCGTCCAGTCGACAATAACAGCACACGATAAAAACGCAAAGGCTCGTGGGTAGACTCTTGTTTGCAAACATCGACCATGGCCATCTGCCTTTGCATGCCGCTTTCAGCTCATGGATTTTAAAAATTCACTCCAAATCCGCTATCATTCCAGCAAATTTAGCTAACTTGTACCCATCGCTAAAACAACAAACAAACAGTTTAAGTACAACTTTTTTGTTATTGTAGTACTACAGAACTACAGAATGGTTAGGTCTTCGATAGTCTATGGTATTTGTGGAGGACCGTAGGACGGTGAGTACCTTCCTGCTACCTTGAGATCGAGGTTCAGCGTAAAGATATTATATGGAAGACACATTGGATGTGTAAATATTGTACAGATCGTGTAATTAGTGTCAAGCATACACACTCAAGAACAGTGATTGGCAAACGATACAAATATAATTTGAAAAAAAAAGATAAAATATTTACAATAAGAATTTAAATCGCATGAATTAAAGTTTTGCCTTCCTAAATGAAGAGCCGAATAAATGGAGCCTTCGAACATGGTGGCGCTATTCTACATATAAACGTTAGACGTTCTGTTCTTCTTCGTTTTCTTTCAGCCGAACACCGCCGAGTAGTATAGTACAGCACCCGACACAGTGTAAATGCCTACAATTTCTTCATTATTCTAGCGTTGAACGGAACACAATAAAATTAATTATTTATTTATTTTAGAATAAACTATTTACACATTTTACCGGCTTGCTTCAAGAAGCCATTCCCGTACAGGCGATTGATTGGACTTCAACCAATTGATATTAGCTTTGGTTTTATCGATCGCCGACAGGAAACTACTGCCACCCGCGAACACGCCGGAGTCGATGTCTTCCTTCTTAGTCACATGTGTGTCGATGAAAAGTTGCAGCTGTTGAAAATAAAACAGATTAGTTAATTCATTGCCAAAAGAAACATAGTTACTAACAGTTTGTCGCATATTCAATCGTGTTCTCGTCCAGCCAGTTAATATAGGTTGCTTATTAATACAATTTTTAAGAAATGCAAAATATGTTTTTGCTGCACGACAATGAGTTTAATATAGAGCAGTATACAATAAAGACGTAGAATACAACGTTTTACCTCTTGTAGCTTGGTCTCTGTGTCAAAACTTGATGTTATAGATTCGACAAGTGGGGCGATTTGAAACAGTCCACCGGCGTACCTAGCAGAAAGAACACAGTAGTATTAAACCTAGATGTTTTACAGAACGTGTCGACAGATGCATATGTACGGCACGCACGTCTTCGAGTCAGATAACATAAAGGTAGATTTGCTTAATGTTTTATTGGTTTACACATACGTAATTGGATATAACATACCTATTGACAATAATGCTCCACTTCTCCCTGAAGAAATCCCACATAAGGTAGCTCCCTAAGTGGTTGGAAGAAACTGATTTATAAACATCTAACGCCAACATCAACGGAATTTCGTTTGTGTCTAAAGTCCGTTCCAGGTACCTGCGAAGAGGATAATTATAGATCATATGGACAATGTACTGTGATATTGGTAATAATATGAAAATACTATTAATAATCGTAACTTATTTGCAACTGATTTAATGAGACGAGCTGTTCTACATACCTACTTAAAATCCACAGTTCCCCAGAGCAAGCCAATGCTTCCAAAAACATTAATTTCTCCGAAGCTACATTGGATTCCTTATACATCTGCCATGCATAGTCCCACTCTTCAAGCCCGCCAGCGGCTATTCCACCACAAATCACTATCTTCTGCAAATTGGGGGCGATACTGCCGGAGGGAAACATACGGCTGATTAATATTTACAACGTAGAAAATGACAATTGTGTTTAAAGAGGTAATATCCACAGTGTTTTGTAAAAAAAATGTTATTGTTCTATTTGTTGTACGCTTAATATGCAAGCTAGACTGTTTTAAACTAAACGTTGTTTGTATGTGTTTGTGTGTTCTTGTGACTGATAATCAATTAATCCACGGTAAGTCCGCAAGGTGTGTTGTTGATTATCAAACGAATACTATAGTTTGTTTTCGGCCAAAATATTGTTAAGACTCGAGGTAAACCATAATATGACCTGTATACCAAAATGAAGTATCGAAATATATGCTTAAAACAAAAATAAATGTATCCACATAGCATCTTTAACTGATTGAATGTTGAAGAATGTCAATTTATGGATGATATGGATAAATAGCATCGAGTTATATTTTAATTACCGTTTTCACGGCAGTCTATCTCAATAACAGACGGCTGGTGGTTAGAGGTTTTAGATCCAACACTATGTAAACAACACATGTAAAATTCATTGCGAATTTTCACGAAGTACGCGATGTCCGACGGCATTAGCGCTTTCAAAAGACAATTGCGCTTTGCTGTTACTTACCTAATTCTCCCCTCCATCCAATCAGCGTAGAGATCGCTGGCTTTCTGGATACACCCAGCATGTCCATAGCGACACGCCACGCCAAGTATAGTGATACGGTGATACCTGAAGCAATACAACACACATTGTGATTAATGCTATCGGTAAGAAGGTGCGAATAGTTATCAATAAGTTCGTCGATACGAGCAATAATGATAGGTCGTTACAATGTAAGTATTCATACCTTTCGAGTTGAAGTCCTGTATCATTCCACCCAACTTTCTCATACAACCACTCAACTTGTTTAAGCATGTATTTCTAGTGGATTGAAACAAAAAAATAATGAACGGATACACTAACAGACAAAAGGACATCATATCTAAAGTCATAATTCATAAAGCAAATTCACTTGTTCGAAACCACAAAAAGAAAAACGACTAAGAAACAACCCATAATCACAAAATGACCTATGAATTACGAATACTATATCAATCAATCTATCAATTTTATAATGGCATCACCGTATACAAACGTAAACTCGGTAGAGCGTATGAATTTAGTTGACAACCCGTCCTCACCTGGAATACGCCATATGCAACGGTATGCCCTAGAAGTTGATCGATGTGCCCAAGCACTCTCATCGCTGTTCTCCATGGCAAGTATTCAGTCTCATTTCGTAGATATTCAGTGAGTCGGAAGCCAATTATTTGACTCAGTTCTCCGGATTTAGCTAAATTAAAAGCGTCATCGATCAAAGCGGCTCTTTGGCTCACTGATATATCCTGCAATAAAAAAAGTAAAGTGTCCCTTAGATTCTTGCCTGGGCATATTTGTATCGAGTCAGGTGACCTTTTTTTTACACATCCGCGCATTCGTAATCTCTAAATATGTATCTAAATTTTCAATGATACTATGGTCCGGCGATTCCGAGAGTTATATAACGTAGACTAAGTAACACGAGTGACAAATGTTTCTTGAAGCATATATCATTTTTCATGGAGATATTATATTTATTTCCATTTTTTGCGAAAATACTGACTTTCCCCACAAAAAAAAAAACATAACGCGGGAAACGCGGCGGCGCAATGTTAATAGTACCTACCTCATGATTGGTTTTGAGTTGGTCTATAATTAGGTTCCAATTGTCCATGTCGTAGTTCACTCTGTAGTAATACGTTTGGTTAACATTAGCCACCACCCATTCATCATTGTCAACACTCGACAAATCAACAATTTCTAGTGAAGTAAAATAAGCAAATCATTTGTAATTCTGGCTCAAATGAGATACACCATATTGCTCTAAAAGACATGTCTCGGTCACATATCCTGTTTGACGCTGTGTTCCTATATATATATCTTAATTTCTCTGTCCACGTATGTGTATATATATATATATAATGATCGATGAAATTGTTTTCTAAAGATAAATCATCTTAGCTAATAATTTGGTTATAAATACAAACTGACTTAAATTATGTATTCCACTTATATTAATATTAATAGAAATACTATATTTAAAACATTCACTTTTTTCTGTTATCAGCCACGTTTGGAAAGCATCTGAGAATCTTTCTTTCCCTCCATACGTATACGTTACTGGAATGTGCCATGAATAACTAAAAGTAAAAATAACGAGAAGGAAAACGTTACCATACAGGGAATGTGTAAGTATATGGTATGGTCGGTTATTAAATAGTCTCACACATACACATCGCTAATAGGTGAATTTTGATTCTTGATTTTCACCATGCGGTCAAAATGCTAAAATTACTTTCACTTGACCGAGAGAGGGAGCTCGAGTAAAAATACGAAGCCACCCACGCCAGGATAAATATTCAATATATCTGTCTGATGCATTCAGTCAGGAATCCATACCCATACAGTATACAATATTATCGCTTATTTCTCATCAATGGGGTTTTGTGTCCCGTTGCAACTCTCGTGACTTGAATACATCATAATATAAAATTTCTGTTTTGTATTAAACATTTCAACGTGTTTTTATTTTCGGCGAACATTGTTAATTTTAAATATTAGCTATTGATAACAAATATTTCAATTTTAAATTGATTTTATGCAACTGTATCACACAATATGACTCTGACATTCTATCGACCAGGTTTACGAAAACAGGACTGGTCTGCATATTTTGGTAAATATAATTCTACATGACACCCAAATGAGCAAATTGCAAAAAAAACCACTATTATACTCACTCATAGGGAGATTCTCTGACCGTTCCGTTAATGCCTTTATCAATTAGGAAATGACGTTGACTAATGGTTGCCCGTTTGTTGCGATAGTCTCGTGTGATCGTCACTAGTGGGTAACCCATTTGTAGAAGCCATCTATCCATAACTGTAGGCACATCCACTGGTAAATCATTCTTTTTTGCAGCCTGGTGATTATAACAAATACATATAACGCACTGATGTTAATATTGATTAGTAATAATTAAAGAAAAAACAAAATATTACCCGTACTCTAACGGATTTATTTTTCAAAAACATATCTTTAAATTTGTTACAAATTTAAGGGTTTACTCAACACTAAACTTTTCATTTTCGTTGCAAGAACTATTTAAAATCGTTATTAAGAATTGCTACTCTTAAAAATATTATCATTTTATGAAATTTCAGAGACTGACACTTCGTTAATGGCATCCGAACAAAATATAAATGTCTAGTCACTAATAATGAACGTAAGAAAAAGAACACAACACAAACAAACCACAATAATAACATGTATCGAAATTGTTCAATGTTTTGTATCGTATCACCAGCTGTTTGGTACATGTAAAAATAAAATATTCTACATTTCCCAGCACATTTTAGTGACTTATAAGTATGTTCAAATAATAAAACAATTTAAGTTCTATTAAATACATACTTATATTGCTAAATCGTCATAAACGTTTTACCATTTTTTGGTAAATTCAAATGAATATACATGAAAGCATGTCTGTGCGTATGCAAACAACACCTTGACGGCTTGAACAAGTTTTTTTTTTTTTTTTTTTTTTTTGTACGAACAAATATTCATTTGCCAGCTACCAACATACTCTTAAAAATTCACGCCACATTACTTGACGTGTCACTGTTTGTTTGCTCATTTAATACAACAAATGTAATTTCGGTATAATATTCCGACAAAATCCTCAAAAGCTGCAGTATGCGTAAATACTTTCTCACCCAATCCATTGCAACCCATAGATCCTGAGATGTTGCACTCCCATAAGCATTGTCGTTCAAATATTTCTGCAATAAATAAAATTTAATCCATATTTATTCAAATACATATGACATGTCGCTATTCGGAATAAAATGCTATGTATATTCCAGACGTAGCACAGACCAAAGAATTACTTGCAGCTGAAGCATTCCACTATAATTACTTAGAAGGCGGTGGGAAGAAGTGTCCTATATCATTACATAGGGTAGTCTCTGAACGTAATTATAATCGAAACATCATGTATTTCAATACTTAGCCCAGGGTAATGTTCGCGGCATTCCTTTTAAAGCAGGGTATGTTACCAATTAATAGTTTATGTTATTAATATTTAAAAATATTCAGTGTGGAAAGGTTAATTGGCGGGTAATAGATAGAGAAAAATAACCTCTGGGGATCCTGAAATGAAGATTACATACAGAAAACCGCCGCCAAAATTCAATTGCTTTTCTCAGATGTTAAAAAAAATACGAATAGAAAATGAAAACCAGTGCTTAGGGAGTTTTGAAAATTAACCACAAGAGTGTCGGATATTTGTGTTGTCTTTTCACATGCATTTTTCAAATACGTTATGGGGGTTCATTTAATGAATGTACTAAAATATTAGAACGTCAAATTAATGTATTATCAGGTTGGAGAATTAAAACTACATCTATTGTTCTTGTGTCAATCGGCCACGTGGCACAATTACAATGTCCCATATCCACTCACATACTAGAAACTTTAACTGAATAATGAACTTTCAACGATAATGAACTTTGCCAAGTACTTTGTTGGTAGTGTTACAGCGACATATAACATTTCTAAACATCATATCAGTATAGGGCATTCAATTTAATTGCTTAATACACGATATAATAGTAGATGTCATACATTAAAGATGTCATACATTAAAGTCCCCAAATGCTTTTCTTTTAGTCAATTCTATAATCCCCATATATGTACGACATTACCCGCCTATATAGCCAGTTACGTATCACGTCGCGGAATACCCATATAAATAAAATGGTATAATGAAACTTTGTACTCACAAATAAACCCTGAGTAAATGTTTCCTCGCCAAGAAAGAAGTACATCATTCTGACTAAAGCTGAACCCTGTCGTAAAAAAACAGTCATTAGTATAAAAGTTACTGTTCATACATAAGTTGTTGAACACATTGTATTTTTTGTAATTTCATTCAGCTACTTTTAGTCATAGTTCAAGACAAATGAATTGCAAATATATCGAGAATATAACAAATTATGTCTTGTCTTTAATATTTGTGTAATTATCAAAAATATTATTGGTGTGCATTTGTGATTTTTTTGTTATGAAATATTCTTAATATATTTCTGAATTCAATTGTCAAAATCAGTTATTTTCAGTTCTTCCCAAAAGAATCGAAAACACAATTGGAGCTAATTCGGGATAATT